GCAATTCCTTCTAAATTAAAGGAATCATCAATTTAAAAAATGGGTTAACTTTACTTTGGTGTAGACAGCGTTACAGTTATAACCAATCTCGACAGAAAGAGGGAAGATCGTACACAGCATAACAAAAGAAATCTTAAGTGAAACCTGTAAATAATTAAAACAATAACACGCACACGAAAAGAAGCATAAAAAATAGTTATTTAAAAAATAAAAGAAAGTTAAGATCCCTTATCACGCCCCTAGGCGTATCGGGTATATGGGAAGAGCGCCCATATTTTTGCAGACCATCGGAACTAGGTGTGTAATGTGGTCAGCATTACGCCGGCCGTCTTTACTTCCTTAAGACGACCATCTTGGTACCCATTTTAGGCTGGGTCGACCTGCGACGCCCCACACCATGATAAAAATCCACGCAGCCAGCAGTTGGTTTCGATCGCGATACGTTGGAGTTACGAGTCGGACTCGCAACGGCTAAGCCCCGGTCGCCGCGCATGAAAATATGGTGACAAAATATACTAGGCTGACGATTGTATCTGCTCTTATGGTAAAATGGTAAATAAACACTTTCTAGAGGTGTGTCCAGCATGTGCAGAATAGGAATTGTTGTTTTTGCTCGCGCACACTCCACATGAGAACGAACTGTGCAGATGGAACAATCGCAATATTAATGCTGATTTTTGAAAAATTTATTTTTGTTGACGCTGACGGTGGAATAAGAAAAAAGAAAAGTAGATTGAAAAGGAAGAGATGAGGAGAATATGAGGAAGATGAGCAAGAAGAAGAGAAAGGAGGAGATGAGGAAGAAGAAGAAAAGGAAGAGGACGGAAGCAGAATTGTGCGATTACAAGTAGCTACTGGAGGAGGATAAGAAAAAGAAAGAAAGAAAGAAAGAAGAAGAAGAAGAAAAAGCAAAAGAAGAAGAGGGGTGACATAATTTTAATACAGGCTGCACGCTGGCGCTAGAAAGCAAGCACTCCATTGTAAGGAAATATAGCAACGACTTTATTTTAGCTGAAACCGACTAGCAATGTAAGCAACACTTGCGTTCTCATTTATTCTAGCAACGATGGCCTGTTAACCTCCCACTCTGTGATATTTAAGCAATTTCCGAGTCATTAACCTGTAACATAATTAACCACTATAGAAAAGGTGAATAACAACAGTGAAACGCAATTAACAGCTGAAAAATCTCCATCAGTGCAGGCATTTTGTCCGCTAATTACAACAACAATACGATCCCGTGCACCTTACGTCACAAAGAATTCGAGTTCCCTAAGTGAACTTTAACCCTCATGTATTAATAATATAAGTAGCTTATTTTTTGCATGTTCGCTGACAGGATTTGATCACATGCGTTTAGTCCTTGTTTTTTTTTTTAGTCCTTTGTACTTGATTGTTCTTAGAAAGTCACAATTGTAATGACGCTCTGAATGACTCTTAATGTTTTTATTTATAGCATGCGCTGCTCTCCGTTTTTGACCTGTCAAGTCCTTACTCTAATTCCATCTGCCCTCGGTTAGGAAACTATTCCATCTGCACTTGGTTAGGAAACTATTCCATCTTCCCTTGGTTAGGAAACTAAGTCAGTAATTTCTCGCTAGCATATCCACTCCTGGACACCTACACTGCAATTAGAAAAAGTAAAAAATAGTCTCTACGCAGAAAGAGGAAAACAATAAACAAGCAGGACACTTTATGTTTCAATAATATCATTGAGGCAGATCTGTAAAAGCGATGTGCAAGCGCAACTCAAATTTTGGAACAAGACCAAAGTCCAGAAGTGGACGAACAACCATAATTTCCCGCCTAAGAATACAACCGGAGAACTGACAAAAGAAGGAGAAAGACTGAGGCCAGTAAGATTAGAGGATAGGGGTAAGCTGAACACAATGGTAACAGAGATGATGAACTTATAGTAGGCAAAGGACAAACAGGGAAAAGAACTTATGAGATTTTTTTCCAAGACTTAAACTGTATTGGGTAATGTACTGTAATGTTAGTTTCAGCTTCATAGCAAACGGGTCACCCCATAGTTGCTCCGCCAACGAAAAACACACAGAAGAAGAAGAAGAAGAAGAAGAAGAAGAAGAAGAAGAAGAAGAAGAAGAAGAAGAAGAAGAAGAAGAAGAAGAAGAAGAAGAAGAAGAAGAAGAAGAAGAAGAAGAAGAAGAAGAAGAAGAAGACGAAGAAGAAGCAAAAGAAGAAGAAGAAGAAGAAGAAGAAGAAGAAGAAGAAGAAGAAGAAGAAGAAGAAGAAGAAGAAGAAGAAGAAGAAGAAGAAGAAGAAGAAGAAGAAGAAGAAGAAGAAGAAGAAGTCTCTTGTGGAGAGATTGACAGACTGCTGTCTCAACATATGCACTAGCACACACACACATTAAAAGCATACGATAGCCATTAAAAGTGCTAACACAAACAGCCGACATTAGCAGAGGTAACCAACAAATCCTTTCAGTCTAAAAATGGAGCAAAAATGCAACGGCCACCGTCTGGCAGAAGCAAATACTTTGCCACGACTCGAAACAGCGGCTGTGCCTAGCGTCCATTTTGACCGGAAGTCCACTCTGTTGAGTGTACTGTAAAAGTACAAATAGAGACCTTTTCTCCCACGCCTTGGGCATTCAATGAAAGACCTAAATTTTACCGAAGTCCACTGTGATCGTCGTAGGTAGGTAAGTAAGTTGCACCCCACCAGGACATCACAAAAACGATATACACCATGTGACACAAAGTGTCAACCGCAGGAGCTAAGGGAGTTAGTGTTTTTTACGAGCCTTTCGGCAGGTGGCTGGTCGTTTTGCGGAGAGAGATCAAGCCATATTGGACATTAGTGCAATGAAGTCGATTCTATCGACTTTACCTTTGATTGCGTATGCCCGAAATGCCCATGACGTGACAAAGGACCCTCCACTTTTCGTGCATAAATGTTACGTTGTGATATCATAGAATCACGCGTGAATAGAAGAATCACTGTTCTATATAATCCACAGACAGTGTAAAGAAGACAGCAGGCATTAGCAGTAAGGGAACCTTTCCTCTTTTTTGGAAAACAAAGCCCGACCTTGTCAGGACCTGAAGCCACGACCTTCCGTTCCGCAGGCGAGCATCTAGCCACTACATCACGGCGGCTCCTAGGTGTGTATACAGTAGAGAGTCTTTTTGCTATAAATTTAATTTTGGCTGCAAAGTTTCCTAATTTTTAAATGTCATTTTAATAATAATAATAATAATAATAATAATAATAATCAAAATCATCATCATCATCATCATCATTATCATCATCATCATCATCATCATCATCAATTTCGAGTTCTTCCGTTAAGGATTGGGTGGGGTTGGGGGGGGGGAGGAGCAGTTTGCGTTCTATTTCTTGACGGGCAGTAATTCTTTTGTCATTCTGTGTCGATGTAGAAGCCCTTTAATGTCATCAATCTATTTTTCATACAGCGGCCTCTCGATTTCAGTTCAGATCTTTTCATGTGTAGCGTCTGCGTTGTTAGCTCTTTTGGCTGCATTCTAACTAAATGACCAAGCCACTTGATCCTATGTTTCTCAGTGAGTTCACTGCATGGTGTTGTTCCTACTGTCTGTCTGATAATAACTGTTTACAGCTTTATGTAAGATGGTTAAGCTGAGGCTTTTCTCATGTATCTTGTTCATTTGACGCAGGTTAGCCTTTAATTAATCTTCATGTCTTGCACCTGTATCACAGTACTGGTTATTTTGAAATGTACACATCGCAATGGCATATAGGCCTACTTCGTCTTGCAAATCCATGCCATGAAATGGCGATCTGAACGCCCCGACAAATCTTACATTATTAGGATACGAGCCCTTGTCAACGCAAGGCGAATTTTCCCGAGGACAAACAGTGACGAGAGAGCGCAAGGGAAGAAACAAGAATTAACTGCTATTTGATATTGTGTACACAGTCGACTGCTAGATGCCCTTTCTGAAACCCTGGCTACTTTCCCCCAAATCTCGCTATGTAACTCCGCCCTTCCGACTAAGTAACACAGGCAGACACGCCCACACAAATAAACTGGTAATAAAAGCACGTTTGGCTGCTAGCTAAACTCACTTGGCGACCACAATTAGTAATTTCATCTCATTTACCACAATTGAAAGGACGCGCTTATTCGCTGGCTGAGAGAAAAAAAAAAAACCCAGTGACACTGAAAACGCCGTTTCCGTTCAATGAAATGACTCGCGACGCATCTGAAGTTTGATTTTTGACATTTTACGTTAATTTTAAAATAGTTGTTGTAAACCAAATTGTGTTCAAGGAGTACAGCTCTATGAGGTTAAACGTCAAAATACTACTTTGCACACAGAATCGTTCGGTGAGTTAGTAAAACAGAAGAAAGTTTACCAGTTCTTTGAACATTTGTTTTTGTGGCGCGCGCACATTGATTACTTTCTGGATTACTTTCAAATTAAGAAGACATCAACGGGCTACAGTTCTGAAAGCGATAAATGCTTAAGCTTGAGCTGTTACTATGGAAATGCAACTTGAGCATCGAATAGAGGAATTATAGGAAACTGCAGCGATAGATTTTGATTGTGATCGATTTTGTAAAGCTTACATAAACTGTTTGTTTTTTCCTACCAACTTTTTCTCTTCCCTATAATTTCCTAACCCCTTAAAAAACTAGATCTTGTAACAGCGTGTTGCTGTGAATACTGATTGTACAGGAGGGATTAGAGTTTGTGAGTGACTTCAGTATAGTGGCTTCAATGTATTAGGTGCTTTTTATTAGTATTCAATCGACACAGTCAGATTTCTGACTGATGAAAAGAAAAATGTACAATAAAAATGTATGACTTTATCTAGAGTTTGAAACGTTCATTCCATGATTCTGTATTTAAAAAAAGCAACATTTATTCCGTGCCACTGAACAAGCGCATAAAAAGTAAAATATTTCCATACCGACTACAGTAGCTAGACCGAACTGAATTTCAAGAGCAAACAATATTTTGCCCTATTCTTTGCCGACCACAGCCATGATCCACCATATGCCTCACGCGCCGTTAGCGAACATGTACTCTAATGTGACACTGGGTCCCACTTCTCTCATGCGCTCCCGGTCACACGAAGACAGATCTCCAACATCCATTGGATATTCATCTTTTCTTATAGACGACATATTAGGCAAATCTCGACCACTAATTCCCATATCCCATTTATCAGCGTCACAAAAGTCACCACCATTGTCGTCGATACTGACTCCGCCAACGAACATTTTGTGCACGTCTTCTTCACTTTCATCAGCAGCAGTCAGTAACAGCGGCCACCATCAGCGAGCGCAACTTCTGGCGCGATCATCTTCCATGAACCACTCTTTCACAGATGCCGCCGAGTCGCGGATGAAGGTCACGCCTGCAGCATCTCATCCAGGTGGTTACCTGCAGAAACCCATGGCCATCTTTGAGCCGACCATAGTTCAGCAGGCGTACTTGAACTCTCACTTCAATTACCACAACGCCTATATGAACCACGTCTACACGGTTCCATTTGACAGACCCGAAGTCCCGTTCCTGGACAGACAAGAATTCACAAAAGGTGAGGAAAACATGTGTTTGAATGTTGAACAAACCTCGCTGATGTACGTCTCTCCTTCCCCCCCCCCTCTTTCTCTGTCTCTCTATCTCTGTGCAGATTCTTCACCCTAACCAGTCCATCTCCTTTCTTTCCCTTGTCCTGTATCTCTTCCTCGTCTCTCTGTCTCTCTTTCCCTCTCCCTATCTCATGCACACATACATACACCAAATAAATATACTTAATACATGCATAAATAGATATATGCAGGCATGCATACATATATACAGGCATGTACGCATTCATGCATACATACCTACATAAATACACAGGTGTCCGCTCGATCACTTGTGGGTTACTACCGGTGTGCCATGATGTTGATCCGTTGTTCAAAACCTCAAATACCTCCACACACACACACCAACACATACTTAATAATTTTCTGTGTGTATATATGGGCATAGACTTTAAGAAAACGACCTATTACTCGTTGAATTCTCTCGTCTTATCCCATCATTTGTGGAATTCTCTCGTTTTATCCCATCATTTGCTGAATTCTCTCGTTTTATGCCATCATTTGTGGAATTCTCTCGCTTAATGCCATCATTTATTGAATTCTCTCGTTTCATACCACTTTTTGTTGAATTCTCTCGTTGTATGCAATCATTTCTTGAATTCTCTCGTTTTATGCCATCATTTGTTGAATTGTCCTGTTTTATGCCATCATTTGTTGAATTGTCCTGTTTTATGCCATCATTTGTTGAATTGTCTCGTTTTATACCATCATTTGTTGAATTGTCTCGTTTTATTCCATGATTTGTTGAATTGTCTCGTTTTATACCATCATTTGTTGAATTCTCATGTTTTATTCCATCATTTGTTGAATTCTCTCTTTTTATACCATCATTTGTTGAATTGTCTCGTTTTATTCCATCATTTGTTGAATTGTCCTGTTTTATGCCATCATTTGTTGAATTGTCTCTTTTTATACCATCATTTGTTGAATTGTCTCGTTTTATTCCATCATTTGTTGAATTCTCTCTTTTTATACCATCATTTGTTGAATTGTCTCGTTTTATTCCATCATTTGTTGAATTCTCTCTTTTTTATACCATCATTTGTTGAATTCTCTCTTTTTATACCATCATTTGTTGAATTGTCTCGTTTTATTCCATCATTTGTTGAATTCTCTCGTTTTATACCACCATTTGTTGAATTGTCTCGTTTTATTCTATTTTTCGTCCAACTTACTCATTATATAAAATGTTACTGCCACCCCCTCCACACACACACAGACACACACACACACACACACACACACACACACACAGACACACACACACACAGACACACACTGAAAAAAGAGCAACATCATACATATGAGAGTGTGTTAGGGCGTTACCATTTTACTGTCTAGATTAGTTTGAAAGGAAGCGCGCCAAGTATTTCCGCTATCACCCATGCAAGTGAAGAGTTCCAGTCGGGCAGCATCTCTGAACTGGTTACGATAAGCTTTGATACTTTGACCTGCGTCAAGAGGTTTTGTAGTGCCTATAAAAACGTATCGTTGTTATGTAAGTTAAAATGCTTCAACTAGTTCAGATCTATTTCGAACAGATTTCCTCCCCGTGTGGGTTCCGGGGCCCTATTACAGGGAAAACAAGAATAGATCCACTGCCTACCCAAAAGCATGTCGAAAGAGTCGACTAACTGGGAGCTTCCTTCGAAATCGGAGTGCATTTGCCCGAGAGGCAAGGAACCAACGGTCTGCACGCAAATGAGTCAGATATGTCAAACGGATGCACACGCAACACTCTGGTTCTGGAAGATGACTGCAGTCTAGAAGTGGACGAACAACCAGAACTTTCCTCCGGAGTTTACAGCCGGTGAACGCGAAGAAGAAAGAAGAAAGACGAACAGACTTTCTTGCATTCTTTTATGTCTGAAATATTAACAGATACTGGTGTTTGTGGGTCATCACAGTAAAGAATAGATATTAGTAAAAATAGCAAGATTCAAAGAGCTGGGGCAAGTAATAAAAGATAAGAGATGATGCAGCAAGTGCGAACCGCTTACTAAACATAGCTTCAATAAGATGACACATTACTGACATCTAGACAGATTATACAATTTTTTACAAAAATTACAATAATGAACCTTTTTTTCCTCGCCTTCAGGCTTATTCTGCATATAAAACTAGACCTATATCTTATTGAACAATCAGCACTTGGCGGGTCATGTGGTCAGCATCACGCCAGCCGCCTTTACTTTCCAGGACTAGGTCGAATTGAGAGCCATTGTCATTTTTGAAAAGAGTCCGGCTCCATCTGGAACTGAACCCACGACCTTCCGATCAACAGGACAGATTATAAGCACGTTAGAAATGAGAACTGTCAAATGCTATGTATATTCAACCCTGCTGTATGGTGCAGAAACCCTAACAATGAAATAACAACTAGAAAATCAAACTGAGTTTCTGGCGATGTTGACATTCAGAACAATCATGTGAAAAACAATCAAATACAGTTCCAAGAGAGACTAGGAAAAAAAATTGCTGATTCAATATAAAAGACAAGTGTTGGAGAAAAGAGTGTGTTGATCCATTACAAAAGACAAGAGTGTTGGAGAACAGAGTGTGTTGATCCATTACAAATGACAAGAGAGTTGGAGAACGGAGTGTGTTGATCCATTACAAAAGACATGAGAGTTGGAGAACGGAGTGTGTTGATCCATTACAAAAGACAAGAGTGTTGGAGAACGGAGTGTGTTGATCCATTACAAAAGACAAGAGAGTTGGAGAACGGAGTGTGTTGATCCATTACAAAAGACAAGAGTGTTGGAGAACGAAGTGTGTTGATCCATTACAAAGTCGAGAAAGTTGGAGAACGGAGTGTGTTGATCCGTTACAAAAGACAAGAGTGTTGGAGAAAAGATAAAGTATTTTAATTAATTACAAAAGATAGAGTGTTGGAGAAAAGATAAAGTATGTTGATCCATCACAGAAGATATTCGTAAAAAAGAAAAGGTCTTCTATGTGATACGAACAACCAATCTTTACACAAAGACAATTATATTTATCACAAAGAAAAGGTCTCCTTTGTGATATGGAAAGCCAGTCTTTACACAAAAACAATTATATTCACACAAAGGAAAGAAGGCAATAGGACGACGACAACCAGTCCCCTGATTCACAACAACAATCGCGAGCAATATAGAGACAATCATATTCATAACTCCTCGTGAGGTTCACAGGCTCTATTGTGGGGAAAACAAGAAAAGACCCACTGTCTCCCTAACATTAAGCATGTCGTAGGATCTTTTTAATTTGAAGCTTTCTTTAAAGTCGGTGTGCATCTGCCAGGGCGACAAGGAACACCTGACTGCACACAAACAAGCCAGTAAAACAGATGTACACGCAAAACTCACGCCCTGACACAAAGCCGAAGTCCTAATGGACGAACAAACAACACTTTCCACTGGACCTTACAGCCGGTGAACTAAGAAGAAGATATTCATAACAAAGAAACGATTATTGCAAAGGATGACAACAACTAACATTTACCCAAACAATCCTATACAATGAAAAGACACCCAGAAAGCATCGTTCATACGATACGGAAAACCAGTCTTCATATCAAGGAAAACATCCTTCATATGGATCGGACAGCCAGTCTTCAAAACAGACACCTGGAGCAATGCACAGATAGTTAAATTTATAACACAGAAAAGAGGTGCAAAAGGTGGCGACATTCTTTTTTTTTTTCTTCGCGTTCACCAGCTGTAAACTCCAGTGGGTAAATTCTGGTTGTCCGTCTATCCCAGGACCTCAGCCTTGCTTCACAATCAGAATCTTACGTGCATATCCGTTTTACAAATCTGACCTATTTGTATGCAGACTGTTGATTCATTGCCTCAGGCAGGTGGCACTCCCACTTTGAAAGAAATCCCAAATTAGTCGTTTCTTATGGCATTCTTTTAAAGGAGGCAGTGTGTGTATTCGTGCCCCCCCCCCTTTCCCCCAACACATCTGTGCAATAAATTATCGTGCATAATACGACAGCAATGTTCATAATAAAGAAGAAATAGTAAGTAAGTAAATTTTACCCCTCCAGGACATCACACAGAGCGATAAACACCCGGTGACACAAAGTGCCACCATCCGGATGAGGATCACTTGTGGAGAGGTCCCGGAAACCCCTTTCAACCGTTAGTTTATATTAACACTCATTACAACCCAGCTTTACAGCGAAGATATTTAGATTTACAATGACAACAAATCATTTAAAAAAAAAAAGAAAATATGAGTGCATAGGACGGAGTTATGTAATCTCTACAACAAAGGTGGTTCATAAAACAAAAACAATAACTTTTCATAACAATGAAAATAAGCTAAAACAAAGGAAGAAAAGTCATAGCTACTGAAATATATTTTCACCGGTCTCCAATTGACCCCACTTTCTGTGTCAATTACAAACGTGCGTGTTTATAACCGATAAAGCACTTTGAAGATGTATAATTATTTCCCCTACGCCAAAAGGGGAGGAAAGCAAGGTTATCTTACATCCGAAACATGACAAGAGCACAGAATACTCTTCAGCCGAGGTGGTACAGTGAACGATTAGAAGTGCTATTGTCAGCAGTAACAATTGGATTTGTACCACATGAAACATTACAGCTTTTTAGATAGGAAATCTGTTCTCCTTTGGTGACAAGCAGTGCCTGTCGTCAGCACTTCTAATTTTGATTACGTTTACTTACTAAATTGTTGGTATCCGTCATTGTACATGGGATAGTTACAGCTTGGAAGTTTAAGTACTTCGGTGTTAGCGTATGCCTCTTAGTTTTCATCATAATAAATAATGTGTTTTATTTTTTGAATGCGTATTATAATAAACGGCTTGTTTTGCGAAGACACAGGCGCGAGTTCTGTAGATGTAATTGTTGATGTAAGTGGACGCATAGCGAAACATTATTTGGAAGCTGCAGAGATAGCGTTTTATGTAGATGAATGATGAGAAGAGCATGGGCAAATAACAAGAGTAATGTAGCTGACTTGAAAGAGAAGAGAATTGATTGCCCACATCAGAAGGAGACAATCTACATTCTTTGGTCATGTCATGAAGACAAAACTGGAGCTCGTCATAACAGTGGGAAAAGAGGCAAAGGGAGACCGAGAGAGAAGGTGCTAGACAGTTTGACATTATGGCATGGAGGATCATCTGCGTCAGATCCAATTGAAAGTACACGGAATACAAGGTTGTGAATAGACATGATTACAATGCCACGCGACATGGACTACAAGAAAAAGTAAATCTTCAGATAGTTGTAAAAAAGTTCTATGAGTAAATAGAAATTGAGGGAAACTATGTTGTGAGTGTATGCAACAAATCCTTACCCTAACAGGACTCAAGTGTACATCAGGACGGTACTTGTAGATGTATGGGCGCTCTAATTACAACTTTTTGGGAGGTTGAACCAGGTGTCAGGGCTGTGACTTGTTGGACTGTCGCAAGGATGCTACTCTTTTAATCACACGGGTGGTCAAACTCTCAAGTACTAGCCCAGAGGAGACACACCAGACGGACAGACATTGTGTGTGCGTGACAGACTGAGAGATCTTGTGTGTGCGTGACAGACTGAGAGATATTGTGTGTGCGTGACAGACTGAGAGATCTTGTGTGTGCGTGACAGACTGAGAGATATTGTGTGTGCGTGACAGACTGAGAGATATTGTGTGTGCGTGGCAGACTGAGAGATATTGTGTGTGCGTGACAGACTGAGAGATATTGTGTGTGCGTGGCAGACTGGGAGATATTGTGTGTGCGTGGCAGACTGACAGATATTGTGTGTGCGTGACAGACTGAGAGATATTGTGTGTGCGTGACAGACTGAGAGATATTGTGTGTGCGTGGCAGACTGAGAGATATTGTGTGTGCGTGACAGACTGAGAGATATTGTGTGTGCGTGGCAGACTGAGAGATATTGTGTGTGCGTGGCAGACTGAGAGATATTGTGTGTGCGTGACAGACTGAGAGATATTGTGTGTGCGTGGCAGACTGAGAGATATTGTGTGTGCGTGGCAGACTGAGAGACATTGTGTGTGCGTGACAGACTGAGAGATATTGTGTGTGCGTGACAGACTGAGAGATATTGTGTGTGCGTGGCAGACTGAGAGATTTTGTGTGTGCGTGGCAGACTGAAAGATATTGTGTGTGCGTGTCAGACTGACAGAAACATTCATCTTACTCTTCTTCTTAGCGTTCACCTGTTGCAAACTCCTGGCGGAAGTTCTTATTGTTTTTTCACTTGGATCTTGTTTCCAGAACGTAGGTTTTCGTGCATAGCCATTTCACAGATCTACCATGTTTGTATACAGACTGTTAGTTCCTCTCCTTTCAGGCAGATGATCTCCTACTTTGAAAGAAATCATCATTAGTCGCTTCTTACGACATGTTTGTTAAGGGGACAGTGGGCAAACTCTTGTTTTCCTCAAAATTGGGTATTGGAACCCACACGACAACAAGGACAGCAGAGCACACAGGCAACACACTATGTAGGCGAAAGGTTCCACAATATAATTGTTTTAAACGGCTGAACGGGGTAACTGGCACTTGTTTTTGTTGAACCAGCATCCGTAGTTTGGTTCTTTGAGTCTCTGGATATCAAACCTTCATGTAACAGATGGTTAGTTAGTTAGTTAGTTAGTTAGTTAGTTAGTTAGTTAGTTAGTTGGGTTATCGTCATTGCACTCCGGACATGTCCATAGGTGCTCAGATCCTCCCCTCAGTATGAACCCCAACGTCCGATGGCTAATAGTACCAGTTCTATGTTGATTAACAAGTCTTCTGACGTGTCCGGTGTGCGTCTCGTTTTTTGCTGTGCCGATCTTAATTCCCAAGTCTGCCATTCTGGCGAGTGATGTGGATTCACTGCCACCAAAGTCCTCTATCCTTCCCATTTCTCTGAGGGCATTGATAATATCAGCATGATCCATAGGCCGACCGTCGGTAGTGATAGCGGATCCAGCCAACCTGTCAGCTCTTTCATTTCCATCGACGCCTGCGTGTCCCGGAACAAAAATAAAGGTGACTCCACGCACAGTGGACTTCTGTAATGATTCAAGCCATTGTCTTCGCACTGAACCCGCCTGAACCCTCCGGATCATACTCATTGAATCACTGAGTATACATATGCGGGTGTATTTTTGTGTTTCAAGCCAGGCAAACGCTTGCGTCACTGCCATCACCTCCATCGTCATGCTGCTGGTTGTCATGGAGAAGGCACCGTTGGCTTCTTTGACTGTTCTGCCCGCTGAGCGTGCTGTAAATGCCCATGCGCTTCTTCTTTGGCGTATAACGGATCCGTCTGTGTAGATTAGTGCATCTGCTTCGTCTGAATTTTCACCGATGAGAGCGTTGACCTCTGCATTAACAGCAACAGGATTCTCTTCTCTACATCGCCTGTTGAGTGTGACAATACAGGAAAATGTACAAATAAACGCCTGAGGCACAGGTATCCATTCTGCACCAGGTATGATGTCGGTTAGGCTGCATATTTGCCTAATAACATCTTCTGCCCGACCTAGCCACGATTTTCCCCTCTTCAGTCTGTCGCCCTTTTCACTAAAAAGCGCTTGATGCAGTGGGTGTTTCTTATCAGCACATATTTTGAGGTATGCCCGAGCCCTCCACATTCTGATGTAACAGATGGTATGACAAAGTAGTGGCACGCAAGGTAGTGTTAAAGCAATAAGCAGGACAGTATGAACGCCGAAAGCGGTCACTGTAAAGAAATAAACAGGCGCAATTAGTATTCACTGAGTAAGTAAGTAAAGTAACGCCTTTTTTTGCACGCCTTCAGGCGTAATGGGCATATAGGGCTAGACGTATATTTTATAGACCAATCGGCACTTTGTGGGTGATGCAGTGAGCATCACGTCGGCCGTCTTTACTTTCAGAATCTTTACCTGGTGCCCACTACTGGGTCGACCTGAGAGCCAATGCTGATTTTTCAAGGGGAAAAAAAGTCCTTCCGATCTGTAGGCGAGCGTCCAACCGCTACACGACGGCTGCCCTCACAGAGAGTAAGTGTTCCTCTAAATCTTTGTTGTAGATCTCTGAAAGTAGAAATATAACTAAGTTACTCGTTTATAAAAAATTCAGCGAAATCCGTATTATATATATTTTTTTTCAGTTGGTCCAAAGCAATGGCACATCTGGAGCCCGTTTCTCCAACGACCTCTCCACAAAAGAAAAGGTGGTCAGGTTAGGTTTTCCAACGATCAGACGGTGGAGCTGGAGAAAAAGTTCGAAGGACACAAGTACTTGAGTCCTCCAGAGAGGAAGAAGCTGGCCAAAGCCTTGCAACTTACAGAGAGACAGGTAAAGTATAACTTGTTAATTAGCTGCATAAGAGACAGAAAGACTAACTTCTTAAAGAGCGAACGATTGGTCGGAGGCGGACTGATTAAATACTGAAGCATATAAACAGATAGGCAGATATAGAAAGTCAGACAACTACATACACATATGAACACACACACACACACACACAGAGAGAGAGAGAGAGAGAGAGAGAGAGAGAGAGAGAGAGAGAGAGAGAGAGAGAGAGAGAGAGAGAGATACAAAGACAGGCAGGCAGGCGAATATGCTCGATCAGTATGTATCCTAAGGTTAAAAAAAAAAAAAAAAACATATCAATGAATTAACACCTCAGATTTACAGTAAATCGTTTTATCACATCTGGGTAATTACACTTCACTGATTGTTTCTACTTTGTCAAACACTTACACACAAATTCTAGCGCTCACAAACAGTAAAATAAACAAACAATAATAAAATTAGACACTTTTGCAACTCAAAGACTAGCACATGCCAACACTTGCACGCACAAACATGGACGTTTGAAAAAATTTGCATGCATAAACAGTTGTACACATAAACAGTTGCATACACAATTACTAGAGCCCCCCCCCCCCCCCCCCTCCACCCCCCACGTACACACAAACGTCTTCTTTCGTCATCTCACTGATCCCTGTTGTGGCCAAGAGTCTTGGCTTTCTGTATTTCTCATGCGCTTCTCGAGTGGCTTGGCTGATGGATTTGTTCACCTTTTTACAGGTTTCTGCTACGCCATTTATCCATAACTTTCTTGGTCTTCCTCTCGCCTTTCTCCCAGAGGTTCTGCTGTAAAAAAAAAAGTCTCATATACAGTAGGTCTGGCTGCATTCTCACTAGATGGCGGAATTATTTCATTCTTTTTCTGTCACTATAATTCAGACATATCCGACTTATCTCTGTAATGCTGGTATTCGTAACCCTGTCTTTTCTTGTGTAGTTAGTTGAGACAGCGCATTTCACATAATGTTATTTTCTATACTAGTGCCTTATTCATTGTTCACACACACACACACACACACACACACACACACATACATTAACACACATAAACACTAGTAAGTAGACACACAAGTACACATAGTAACCTGCATACAACAGTACATAGAAAAATGAAAATGTTTACTTTAATAATGCATAGTAAGAAATATAAATTACTTTTTCAGGTAAAAACCTGGTTTCAGAACAGACGAGCGAAATGGCGGCGATTGAAACAGGTAAGTCTTCTAACCCCCTCTCCAACTGACCATAGAACTCAAACAATTTACTTTCAGTCCTTTTGTTTGTTGTGATGTGTGGATTATGCAGCTATATGTTCTGCAAGATAGGGTAGCCACTCTCATATCCACTACCATTATTGGTTGGCGTTTTACAACATGCACGATGGTGTACAGTTTTATTATTCTTTGTGATAATTAATGGGTCCCGTTGATAGGGACATGAGATGTGGCTAAGTCGTTGCTGGACCTTCGGCAAGCGACCACAATAAAGTGGCTTCCAAATTTTGGCGAAGGTTTGCTTTAGAAATTGCGTTTGGCGCCCCTGGTAAATCCGGCATAAAATATGATATTAGAGGTCGGTCGACCCAGCCTCGTACAATAAATACGAGACAATTTTCACTCTTTTTTTTCGGATAGAAAAAATAAATAATACTTGACGACTAATGAAACTGGCTACACACCTCACTTGTCATAGCCAAGAGTATGTCAAGGTTTGATACTTCCCATCCCCAAAAATAATTTTGCAAGAATCCACTTTTAATTTGTTTAATTATCATTGACTGGATCGCCATGGAAGTTTATACTATTGAAACTAAGATTCCAGAAATATCTGGAATTCTAAAATAAAAGAGTATTTTGAAGTCACAGATAAAGCTGTAAAGAGATGACTGTGTTATTTGAAGTACATTTTTGAACCTAAATTTACTAGTATTTAGATATATAGATTATATACTTTTACTGCATTATTTACATAGATATATTGTGTCTCCAGGAGTCGCCTGCAAATGAATGCCAGTTTCAAGGCGACCACTCAGAGAAAACCCTCAGCCATGACCACTCGACGATGCACGCAGATCATCATAACGGCAATTTGTCTGACGAAGCAGCCGAAGACGACGATGAATTTGAGCACGAAGATGATATAAACTTGACAGATGATGAAATTGAGGTGGTCGACGAAAAAGTTACATATTATCAACGGTAGTTCAGCTGCGCACGTATTTCTGTACGACTATAAGGATCGCCATTGACCACATCTGTTTGACAATTTGGCTGTAGTAGCGTAGTCGTTAGCACTCTTGCTAACCACAACAAACGCCAATGTAGTGAGTACTTGACGTTGAAAGCATACACAGCAGTAGTCTGCAGATCATCAGTAGAGGGTCCCCCCCTTCAACAAAGTTTAGGCCGGTTTATCACCTAAGTATTTTCCGAGGACGGGCAGACCGTGGTCATGACTTGCGGACCTTGCGACTCTTCTGTTGGGCTTTCGCACTCTCGTTCACAAAGCAAGACATTGTTAAGCTATCGACTCTTGGTTAATGACAGTCGCCGCTAGTTTGCGCCGACCAGCCACCTTGCACTGCAAGTTACCAGAGCTCAATAAGCAGCATTGGTAGGGCTTTTCCTGGCCATTATAGGCTTGTCGGTCTCATACTCACGCGCTATATATTACTTTGGAAAAGTAAAATGTTTTATGTGATACACTCCGTGACATCTTAAATGTTCTCATCGGTTACAGACAAAATGGCTCAAAAATCAATCTTTAATATGCTTTAATACCTTACATTGACTGGTAGATGAGAAGGAATAGGAGAACGTTATTAATGAATCTTTTAAATATTTAAAAGGTAAATTATTTTTATACATAATTGTTCAGTTTCTCCGTCTCAACTATTGGTTTGGAAATTATTATATACTTTTTAGTTAACTAAATGTTAAAAATTTATAACCGAATTGAAATAGAACCAAAAAAAAAAAAAAAAAAAAAAAAACGATAAAAGCTGGCCTAAATAATGGCCCTTCTTCGGTTACTGAATAAACAAGAAAACTATATATACCCGAGGAAAGGCATAAAATAATAAAATAAATAACAATGTTAATAAATTGCATATGTGATGTAATTTGTTCCTTAACTGGAATACATCTATTTGTAAACGGCGAAAAACAGAGACTATTGAATACTATGTTAGGCTATCCTCTGAATAACGGGCGGTAAAGATGGCGGCTGCAAAATATCCTTTCGAGCCACAGTCACGTGTCAATTGCGCACTTCCGGTGACTTACTTTGCCATTCTCCGGCAGTTTTCCGGCGAATACCGGCACCGCCACGAGTTCCCCACGCCGCGTGAGCGGCGTGGATTGGGGCTAAACTAGATGGCTGCCCACGAGCAGCAGTTTTCGCATCTCCTGAAGCTTTGCTGGTGGGTCCTAGCCATCTAGTTTAGCCCCAATCCCTCAGGGCGGTGGCGGTAGTCGCCGGAAAACCGCAGGAGAACCGCAAATTAGGACACGTGACTGGCTCGAAAGGATATTTTGCGGCCGCCATCTTTACAGCCAGTTATACGGAGGATAGCCCTATGTTATCTTATGATTCAGTCTGTGTCAGATTGGCTAAAGTAGTGCCAAATCAATTCCAGTCTATTATTTATTATGATAACTTTTCAGAAACAACAAAATGATTGTGTATTTTGTAGCTAAGCATCGATACTGTTGCCTAAAGGATAAGAAAGACAACTAGTCAAATTGTGCAAATTTTTTTTTTAAAGTTACTCTCTCAAAATATTTGTAAATACAAAATTTTAGGCATAGTTGGATCATATGCATTCTTACGGTTGAACCAATGCGAGTCTATATCAAAACTTTGCGGAATTACCTAATGATTGTGCAGTTAAACAATAATACTGTGGTCCGGATGACCATAGTAGTAAAATTGTGCAAACTTGTAAACAATACACGCGAGGTTCTCCACCTGCTTATAAATATTTCAGGTCTGTGTCATGTATTCGGTGTGTTCATTCATGGTCGATACAATGTTTATGTGCAAACACTTCTTAGCAAATACATGAAAACTGTACAATTATTCATTTTGCCGCATTTAAGAAAACTGCGTGTTTACTATATTCACAGACAAAACGACACACAGACACAAATCTGTGTTCGCTGTGTTCACAGGGAAGACGGCATATGTGTTCATTTGTTTCTAGTGAATGTGACAGAATCATGTCTGCTGTGTGCTCATGCTGAATAAAATATTTAAAACGGTTCATTCATTAATGTCACTGTGAATATTTCATACACTTCTGCATTTATAGTATCATAGTCAATACACAAAACTCTGTTTATTTGTTTTAATCACAACTGGTGCAGTAACACTGTAATTGTAGAGCTCACATCTGGTGCAGAAACACTGTATTTGTTGTACTCACAACTGGTGCAGTAACACCGTAATTGTAGAACTCACAACTGGTGCAGTAACACTGTAATTGTAAAACTCACAACTGGTGCAGAAACACTGTATTTGTAGAACTCACAACTGGTGCAGTAACACTGTAATTGTAAAACTCATAACTGGTGCAGAAACACTGTATTTGTTGTACTCACAACTGGTGCAGAAACACTGTAATTGTAGAACTCACAAACTGGTGCAGAAACACTGTATTTGTTGTACTCACAACTGGTGCAGAAACACTGTAATTGTAGAACTCACAAACTGGTGCAGAAACACTGTATTTGTTGTACTCACAACTGGTGCAGAAACACTGTATTTGTTGTACTCACAACTGGTGCAGAAACACTGTATTTGTTGTACTCACAACTGGTGCAGAAACACTGTATTTGTTGTACTCACAACTGGTGCATAAACACTGTATTTGTTGTACTCACAACTGGTGCAGAAACACTGTATTTGTTGTACTCACAACTGGTGCAGAAACACTGTAATTGTAGAACTCACAACTGGTGCAGAAACACTGTAATTGTAGAACTCACAACTGTGTAGAAACACTGTAATTGTAGAACTCACAACTGTTTAGAAACACCGTAATTGTAGTGCTGACAGCTGTGCAGACACACTGTATTCGTAGTACTCATAACTGGTGCAGAAACCCTATATTTGTTATACTCACAACTGATGCAGCAACACTGTATTTGTAGTACTCACAACTGGTGCAGAAACACTCTATAGGTAGTGTGCAGTATAATATTCGCGCGGGCTGGTTGTAAAAAGTCAAACATGATCTCAAAGTAAACACGAGTGTGACCTGATAGGCGCCACTTAACCAGGTTACCTTGCTATAAAGTTAAGAAAATTTATCAAGTAAATGACCCCTAATATGTCTTTTAGCAAGTCGGGCATATAGTACTAGACATATATATATATATAAATAAAAATACCAGCTGTCACTCAGTGGGTGATGTCAACATCATACTACCCGCCTTTACTTTCCACGACATCACCTGTTATCCATTTCAAGTTGGGACGACCTGAAAGCCAAAATCAATTAAAAAAATATCTACTTCATAGAGATTTGAACCCCGGACGCTTGCACCCTCAGACTGCATCTAGCAGTTGCGATACCACGGTATGTACATTGATGTCTTTAGCTCCTTCGTTGTGACTTTTCTTCTTAGCTTTACAGGACAGGACCATAAAAATGTCGCTCTTTACTCTCTCTCTCTCTCTCTCTCTCTCTCTCTCTCTCTCTCTCTCTCTCTCTCTCTCTCTCTCTCTGTACCCCTCCTGGATATCACACAAGCGATAAACACCAGGTGACACAAAGTGCCTCTATGCGGAAGAGGATCACATGTGGAGAGGTCCCAGAAACCTCTTTCAGTCGTTAGGCCATATTTATGGTCCTGCTATATTTAGGGCTCCCGGCAAAAACCAGGGTGGGGTTTCAAATAATAAAAAAAAATTGCATCCCACTTAACATGTAATGTATCTCGTTCTAATCTGGACAGGCGATAAAATGATTTGGTCATCGCAGATTGCAGTCACAATAGATATACCATCCAGACCCTACATTGAAAGATCTGACATGGGAGCTCAAGGAGTAGAAGGGCTGGTTAAGTAAAGATATTTTACGTCCACACTGAATGACTGGGTGTTATCAGTTGCCACACGCTGGGGGATATATTAAAGATGAGATCTGAGCGCGTATGGACTTGTCCGATGTGCAGTGGGGATAATCTTCCGACTAACTAACTAACTAACTAACTAACTAACTAACTAACTAACTAACTAACTAACTAACTAACTAACTAACTAACTAACTAACTAACTAACTAACTAACTAACTAACTAACTAACTAACTAACTAACTAACTAACTAACTAACTAACTAACTAACTAGCTAGTTAGTTAGCTAACTAACTAACTAACTAACTAACTAACTAACTAACTAACTAACTAACTAACTAACTAACTGAGTAAGTGAGTAAGTGAGAATAGCCAGTGCCACCAATAAAGTGCTCGGATGCAAATTGTTCCCTCTTCCGACATATTTCGGTACAAGTGGAAGTTGTTTTTGTTGATAATAACGATGAGTGTTGACTGTTCAGGTAATAACTGACATCATCACACTCGGGACATTCCCACAAGCACCCCGTCCTCTTCTTCAGCCGCCAGCAAAGAGTGCCAGTTCCGTTGTTGCCAGTGTATGTCCGTCTTGCCTTTCCGCTGAGTGCCGACTAGATCCCCTAGTTACTCTCCACCACTTTTGGGGTAGACAGTGGGTCTATTCTTGTTTTCCTATAACAGGGCCCTGGGGAGAACGGTTATTGAATGTACTAGACCTGATGAGTAAGTAAGTTTTACTCCACCAGGACATCACACAGAGCGATAAACATCCGTTGACACAAAGTGCCACTACATGAATGAGGTCACCCGTGGAGAGATCCCAGAAACTCCGTTCAACCGGTAGGTTGTATTAGGGCTCCCGATAAAATACATTGTGGGGTTTTTGAATAAGGAAAAATTGCGTCACACTTCAGGGCAAACGGTTTCGAAACATTGACTGACTGACTTTCTACCCCACCAGGACATCACTCAAGCGATAAACACCCGATGACACAAAGTGCTACCATGTGGATGAGGATCACCGTGGAGAGGTCCCAGAAACCGCGTTCAGCCATTAGGCCAGATTTATGACCGGGCTATATTGCGACCCCTGGCAAGTGCTATGGTTAGGCTTCAAAATAACG